CATGGGAAATGGAAACAATGTTGCTCACTGGTTTCTCCAGTCCTCAGCTCCTAGAGAATTCTCATAGGTCCCCGATCTTCTCTATGCAGTCTCTCTTTTATTCAATCTCTCTTACTTGTTATACAGAAGCTGTTCAATTGGCTCACAGTTGTCTATCAGGCAGGAATTTCTCTAAATATAGGTATAGGTATAGGTGTTCTTGCGGAGAAGAGACCTCATTGTCCAGCTACACTGACACCTTAGACTCACCTCCTGGGCCATACCAACTTTATGAAATAAACACCTCAACAGCACTCACATTCCTTAGTCATAATTTTTTATAGGCACCTTAGCATAATTATTTTATTGAAATATTGCAGGCAGAATAGTACAAAAAGAGATGGTTCTGGTGAAGCTCAAGAATCTGGGAAAGTTAAGGATGTATTGGATATGAACTCACATAAGTTTGGCTTCCACTGTGGGTGATGCAGGAAAGATTGACTCTGAAATCTACTAGCTTATAAGTCAAGGTTCTCCATTCTGTCAGTCCTGTCACCATTAGATTGTGTGACAGAAATTATGGACAAATATTTTGATTTTTGATTATAAAGAGTAGCCAAATGCAAAGTTATACATTATACTGAGTCAGGAGAAGGTGAACAAAATAAATACGGTCCTCTAGCATGCCTTATTGCTCAAAATCTTGTCATGTTTTCCTTATAGTAAAAGGGGCTAAGATCTTCTCCATCTCTATCACATTCATTACACAATAAAATTGGAAGAGCAAATGATATCGTATGTAGAAACATTAGAGACATTTTGAATAAAAGCAGGGATACAAAAGACTATTTCCAAAATCTTCTATTTCTGATTTCTGATTTTAGGTATGTTAAGCATACTGCTGAGTGTTCAAGCACCACAGACCACATATATATCAAAATACATAGGTATTAGCCTGGCTGGTATGGCTCAATGGATTGAGCATCATCCCATGCACTAAGAGGTCACCCATTAGATTCCAGCTCAGGGCACATGCCCAGGTTGTGGGCTCCATCCCCAGTAGGGGGTGTGCAGGAGGCAGCTGACTGACGTTTTTCTCTCACATTTCAATCTCTTTCTCCCTTCCTCTCTCTCTAGAAAGTCAATGAAAACATATTTAAAAAAACAAACATAAGTATTGAGGTACCTGATTTTATGCATCCTTTTTATTTAAAAAAAAAAAAACTTGGATATTGCCATGGCCAGTTTGGCTCAGCAGTTAGAGCATCGGCCTGTGGACTGAGGGGTCTTGGGTTTGATTCCCAGTCAAGGGCATGTACCTGGGTTGCAGGTTTGAACCCTGACCCCAGTTGAAGTTGTATGGGAAGCAACCAACCAATTATCTCTCTCACATTGATGTCTCTCTCTCCTTTCCTCCCTCTCTCCCTTCCTTCTACTCGCTCTAAAATAAATCAATGGAAAAATATCCTTGGTTGAGGATTAACAAAAACAAAACAAAACAAAAAAACTTGGATAGTTTACTAGACTGAGTGACATTTAAGGTACGGGCAATTTTGAACTTAGTATCATTTTGAGAGAAATGAATATTACTAAAAACTGCATGGAGGATTTAGAAATAAAATATAAACTGTATATTATTTAAAATAAGAAAAAAGTTATATACCTGATCTAGCACACACAGCTCTAATCCAATTAATGGGCTGAATAAAATATTTCATAGTAGGTATCATATAGAAGCAAACAAAAACCGAAGATGAGAAGAAACATTTACAAAGGATTTGTAAGTATTGTGTATTAATTGACCAAAAAATAAATTTTACTGAAAAGAAAGACTCCTAAATTTTTTTGAGTTATTGTGACAGAATGAAAAAAAAAAGTATAAATCTAAATGTAGAGGACTTGGGCTGTGTGATTGGCTGTACCTTTTAGCAGCTGACTGATTGGGCAGATCAATCTCTCACCCAATTCTGTTACTATGAAATGCTTGACAATAATTTTCCTGACAACTTTAAGGGGTTTTTATAAGCATCAAATATATCAAAATGAAATAATTGGTTTCAAATTCATTAGGCTGTATGAGTTCTGAAAATGTGAGGTATCATTGGGAAAATAGCTATACCTTAAAAAAGGCCATATATTTAATATTTTTATGAATTAAGTTTTATAGAGATAATACAGTTTTAAATGTATTAGAAGGGTATGCTATGTAAAGGCATCTTATACAAAATCATTATGTGAAACTAATAACTGTCTAGATTTTCATGTACTAGGTCCTTTTAAAGTCATGTATATTGAAAAGTCCAGACTATGGAGCATTTTACATCATAATAGCAAGAAAAAAATAATAGTTTTAAGAGTTTTGCCCTACAAAATGAAAACCCTTTTCTACTTCATTTTTTGACTGCTCACACTGCCTTCAAGTCAAATGTATTTTATCTTTTTTTTGTTGTGAATCATAAGCTGATAAGCTTTTTAGGGTCTTCCACAGGAACTAGATGAAAGACAGTGAGGTGTTACTGTCTGTACTTTATTCTTCATAAAAAAATGTTGCCATAGAAAAACTTGAGTTTTTAAATTTTTAGTATAGAAATCAAGTCAGAATAGCAGACTTGAACATTTTTTCCCATGGCATTCTTCGTACCTGTGCTTACAACGGGTGATCACTTTTAAGATCATTCTGTGAGGTTGCTCCCTGGTCCCAACCTCTACGCTCAGCTGTCAGATTCCTCACGCATTTCTTAGTTGTCAGGTACAAGTTATGACGATATATATATATAAATTTCCATATAAATAATCTATTTGGTAGACCAGATATGTTCTAATGTGCATAATATGTCCCACATGAAAAATAAATGCTCCTACCTCACTGACATCTTTCTGAATGCAAAATGAGCATTCACACCCACCCTCACCATTAAAATAAAAAATAAATAAATAAACACGTTCAGGAAACACAAGCTGTGTCTTCTGAAACTGAAGTCTTACATACAACACCATTTTTAAACAATTTAGATGACCTAGCAACAAATCACTGAAAACTTTGGATCAGGTATTTTTTGCTTCATTTCCATACAGATTATTATAGGCTTGAATGATTTACAGCAATGTTCACTCTTTTTCTGAGAAAATACTTCTCCATACCTATCTGCCAAATTGTATAATGATTGTTAGAGGTTAGTAACCGCTGATGCCTAATCACTGGGCTTTGGGGAATCTATGCTCCACAGATCAGAAATCCTTGATTTGTTTACTAATAAATTTTATAAAGTCACCATGTTTAAAATTTTGTCATTTTTAAGGTAAGCTAAATTATGTAGCCTTTAATTTAGACATTAAGAGATGTGGATTATTCCCCCATTACATTTAAAAGTCATGAGTTAATATTAAGAAAGAAATGTGTCTAGATGAAAAATGAACTAGTATATTTCTTTACATACTTTTTTTTTTTGGTATTTTTATATTTTTGAGTTGTTTTTGCAAATGTATTACTATGAAAAATAAATAGCATGCATGAAGTTAGTTGTACTATGCACATTAATAGTTTTCATTATCCTTACTACCCTAAGGGGTTGGCATTACTACCCTTACTTTACTAATCAGAAAAGGGAGACAGAGAAATCTGGTAATATGTAGCTAGTAAGTGAGTGCTGGAATTTAAATAGATTTACTTAACTTGAATTACATTGCCTTCTATAGAGAAAACCATATTTATAAAATCAGCATCTTTATGTTGTTTTCAACTAGTTCTATGAGTCAGTAGTTTCACATGTAGCAGGATTAACAGATATAAATAAAGGTGTGTTTCAAGTGACTGTATCTTTAAGTTTATGAATGTAGAAGTACCTAATGAATATTAAAACCCATAAAAACCAGGGTCCCTTGCTTGTTTTAGGACTTACTTTTCAAATGCAGCTTTCTGTGTCATTTTGTCCCCAAATGATGCCGCATGTACATTTTTTAAATCAATAAATCCACAGTTTTATTAAGAAATATTTTATTAACAAAACAGTAAATTCCACTTGCTTAGCATTTCCAATAATGGATAAATTGGCCTTGCAACAGAAAAACAAAACAAAACAGAACCCTTAAATACCCAGTCACACAGAGCACTAGAAGGGGAGGGTCGTGTGGCCTTTCTTTGATGACTTAGGGATTGACCACATCACACATTATTATAGTATCTGTTGTTGTTGTTGTTTTTTTAAAAAAGGCAACACATTGCATGGATAAAAAAGAAGCAGACTCGATCAGAAAAGTTACAGTCTAGAGATGTAATCAAATTTATGCCAGGTAGTGTGAAATCCTTTATTAACTATTAAACTATGCATGGAACCCTGATACTTTTGGTATGAAGATACTTGAGATTTTTTTATTCATGTCTTTTTCTCTCCCTAGCTCATGTTCCTCTCTTTCTCCATTTTAAAAGAAAGAAGAAAAAGAACTGTTAGATTTTGTATAGGCCAATAACATTAGTAATATTTTTACTGATAATATTAAATTACATCGTTGCATGAAATTTTAAAATTTATGTTGGAAAGGAACATTGAAATCAATTCCAAACAACACCACTTCATAGATATACTGCTTAAAAATAACATTATTTCTTTCATATTTTAGAATTTTTCTAGATGGAAACTAGGTCAAGTTCCACAGATCAAATGGAAAATCATCATTTCTTTTTATAAGTTCAAATGTAAATTAGTGGTTTTATATTTATCTTCTTTTTTCACTGGCTTTCCCTGAGTAAGACTGAATGAAAGGGGGAAAAAAAAGATATGAATTTTTAACCTAGCAAAATAAAAAAATCTGACATACAAGTAATGGATATTAAATTTTCATTTTATACCTCTACTTTCTGGGTCATGAAAAGCCTTTAAAACTTTTCATTTTAATTGATTACTTGGCAACCATAGATAGTGGCGGTTTGCTATGTTTCTAAGGTTCTGTATGTCTGAAATCCAGGCCACTTCTTGGCTTTTTTTTTTTTTTTTATCAACTAAAGTATTACAAAAGATGTTTTGCATTTTTTGCCTTTGCTGATTAAAGCTAATTGTAAAGGTATTATTCTCTTTTATGAAATCTAATGTCATTTTAGGAGATGTTAAAGTAATGCGATCAATTTATACCGAGGCATCACCTTGCAACCTAATAATGCAGTGCCTTTGCATTACCTTCTCATACCGATAGTTTATTGCTATGAACATCATTGAAATAATATGCAAAAGCAAGTGTATAATCTATACTTTTCTATCATTTAATGTGTTAAACTAAAACTATAATGATATATATGTAAAACCCAAAAGTTAAAATATGGTCAATAATCAACAGAGAATGGTTTTAAAAAATGAATAGTAATACAGAATAAAAAATTACTGAAAATACTTTCTTAGTTGAGAAAGTGTTTACCTTCCAAAATGTTTATCATGCACATTAGGTTCAGAGAAAAAATATATAATTTTATGGAAACAAAGTTTTCAATTGTAGCAACCAGGGTTAAGGTGTATATCAACCGATTTTGCTTCTGTAACCTCCTGACATGATGGTTCATATCCATGCAGCAAGATACCATTGATACTCTATTTGATAAGAAAAGGTTCCATTTCACTAGGTAAATATCTTCTTGGGGTTTCTTGGGAACATGATCTCAGTGAAGCAAATCACCCCATTTGTCATCCATACCTTGGCACAACTATTTTCCTTCCTGCTTTTCAAATTGTCAGTAAATATTTGTTAGTATATGTATGTTTGGGCCTTTCATTATAATTGATGGATTACTCTGGATTTGTGTGTGTGTGTGTATGTGTGTGTGTGTGTGTATCTTTTGATTGTGAATAGTGAATGTATGTGGGAAATGTGAGTATTTTGGGGAGAAAAAAGATTATAAGATACATATGTATATATTTTACTTTCTAATTCACACCTTTCGTACAAATACTAAAACTTAATTGCAACAGAATGAAGGCTGTACATGTAAGAAAAAAATGTAGCTGAATCTTTTTATATACATTCATACATATCTTTCTTAGAATAAACACTACATTGTAACTTTATTTAAAAAAGTAAGTAATTGTGGCAATTTATGATGATGGCAAAAAACAAAAACAAACAAAAAAACCCAAAACCCTGAAATAATCGTTGCTCCGATGTCATAAAACTCCCTATACTTAGCAACACTTATAACATTGAATTTACCAAAAATGGCTGAAGAGCAGAGATATATTTTGCATTTTCTATACAACAGGCTATAAAACGTCACTTACCACAGTCCAGAAAGCACACGGAGATGGATTTTATATAAACATATGTAATAACATATTAAGCGTGCATGAAAATTTCCCAATGATTGCATCTATGCCCTCTTGTTTTTGTTTCGAGATTTTAGTGTGAAAATGTGCCTTATATTTCACATGGTTGAAAATAAGGCCTCCATACTTTTTCTTTTTTCCCTCATAATCATAAAGGGGCTTTTTGAATGTGTTCCTACACAAGTCTTCAAAAAAGCCAGCACTTTGTTCCCAATGCAAGTTCCAACCACTGCTCCAGTTGCACCAGGCAGCAAATGTTTAAAGATTTGCAGGTCGAGTCACTCAAAATGCCATAGTCTTCTCTGGCAATAGGACTATCTGACTTCGCAGGAAAGCGCTAGCACTTTGGCTGAATCCAGGATCATAGGTAGCTTCTTCTTTGTGTGTTGTGTGTTGTGTTGTGCCTCGATGTTGTAATACTCCTTTGCTTTATGAATGCGTGCGGTCATCACTGTCTTTTCGAAATGTTCCAGCAACATAAAGACAGGCAGAGTAAATGAAAACACTGTGGATGTTAGGGAATTGATTGGCCCCTGTTTTTTTTTTTTTTTTCTTTTTTGGAGAAACAAGAGCATGAGATACTTGTTTTTATTTTTTAAAAACAGTCTTTCCTTCCTGATTGCATTCCCTGTCTTCTTTTGTATGTGCTTCATAAAAAGGAAAGTAAATAAGTTTATATTATGTCTCAGGTAAAATGAAGACTATTTCTATACAAGGGTCCTGTTATGATCTTGGAATCAGACATAATACTCTTTATCCTTGTTTTTCTTATTTTTGTTGGCGCTTTTCGCACTGCTGGGTTGTTTCTCCTTTACCACAGCCCCATTGGACTGTGCTGAGTTACTGATGTAGTTTCGACTCTCGTCCACATGGTAGGAGCCTTCATCCCGGTTTCTGTACTTGTACATGGCATAGAGGAGGATGAGGATGCACAGGGCGGCAGCGGCCACTATCCCCACCACCATGCCCGTGGTGCTGCTGGACTCCCGAATCACCTCTGCGGAGCCGGGGTACGGCTCTCTCCCCCCTGCCCGGGTTGGGTTGGCTATAGGAAAGAGGGTGAGAAAAACACACAAAGTGATTATCGAGTTCACTGTATGCTCCAGACCTAGGTTAGCATTTGCCATCTATTTCCATACCTAATGGAACAGCACCTACAGTGCTGTAGGAAAAGTACACTGCGGTTACGTGTAGAATCCCTGTACCTTGTGGTCACTAAAAACAGGACACTAGGAATCAAAGCACCTGGTGAGAGACTTGTTGCCATCTTTTCTTTCTCACAGATCAATTTTGTTAACAAGGTCTCGTAAGTGCAGCCCCCAGATAAGCTTCATGTACCTCTAAAGGCTCATGTTGAAGGTGAAAAACCATAAACCCAACATGAAAAATAAAATCATAATGACCCTACCTTATAATATTGGAGAGTATCAATTTAAGAATCAAGTTGATGTGAACACAGAATACTTAGAGCTAACTCTAGACTCTGAATCAGGATCGCTAAATTTAGGGCTATTTATGCCATGATATTGCCTCACACTGTACTAGATACACTCGTGCACTATATGATAATTAGCGCATTTTAAATAATCTAATTGCCTGCTTGTTGACTTGTGATTTTAGTCACATCTTTACAAAGTAAAACAAACGAATCCCTTTTCTCTTTCTTTCTTTCTTTCTTTCTTTCTTTCTTTCTTTCTTTCTTTCTTTCTTTCTTTCTTTCTTTCTTCCTTCCTTCCTTCCTTCCTTCCTTCCTTCCTTCCTTCCTTCCTTCCTTCCTTCCTTCCTTCTTACCTTTCTTTCTTTTTCTTTCTTTTCTTTCTTTTTTTTTGATACGTGCCCCTACCGGAAACCGAACCTGGGACTCTTTGGTCTGCAGGAGGACACTCCAACCACTGACCCAAACTGGCCGGGGCAAAACAAATCCCTTTTCTGTCAAAGATTTATTTGTTTGCATAAGTATATGTGTATGGATGCTATTAATTCATTGGTAGCAGGTGAATTATCACCAAAACTAAATTTGGGAGGTTAAAGTAAGTAAATATTTTTCTCAGTTTTATAGTCCATCTATATTGGTTTGAGTTGAAATTCAGTACCTAATAGATGATAATAAATAAAGGACTGGTTAGCCCACTTTTATTCAACTGGAAAAACCCTCTTCAATCTTTCCAAAGTATAAAGAGTAAGAAAGCTTTTCCCTTGGTACAGGAAATGGATTCTAGGTGCTTTAATGTCTTCCCAAGGCCTCCTCAGGCACTGAAATGGACTATAGATGGGGACACACCCTGGGATTTAGTTTATAGATCCAGGGAGGCAAAGGATGACTTTTCTTCTACATAATACACTTAAAAATATTTTTGAAATAATTTAAAGAATAGGAACCATAGAAAGAGAAGATTCTATCCCATTTCTGTCTGACCCTAGGTCATTTTTCTGTGTGAATTGTGTCTCCTTTCTCTGAATTTCCATCCTCTCCCTTATCTTAACAAAAAAGAAAAGAGAAAAAGAAAAGATTACTTTTCAGATGTAATGGATTAATTTTTCAAAACTTTATTCCTTGTAAATTATGCAGAATGAATTTAAATAGTCACCAGATTGCATATATATACCAGATAAGCATGCATGTGTACATATGGGCTATTGTACGTGTATATATAAAAACACCAGAAATTGAACAAATCAAGAAGACTAAAATTGTGCCTTTATTTCACTACTTTTCGACATTCTTTGGTAATTGTTTTTTAATATTTCTACAAAAGTTCCTATTACTGGGATTCATGTACCAACCGTAACTCTATAGTGCTTTATACTTTCCTTTTCAAGCATCACCAATATTTATTCTATCTGCATGTGAGCTTCTTGCTGTCATTTCCTTTCCTTCTCCAAATAAGCCTCCCAAATACAGTCACTTACAAAGTAGTAGCTTTCAGTCTCAAAGCAGCAAGAGGCTGTGTTCTGAGCTACAAAATGTAGCAGGCGAAACCTTTCTATGTTGAGTATGTCACTGCTTGTTTTACAAAAGACCAGGTAACGTTGCTGAATAGAAAGCCTTGGCATTGCTTCGGTGGCCAAGGTACAGAAGACAAAGACTGTGATCTGCAGCATTTGATCACAGGAAATTAATTTCCTCGGAAGAAGAACAGAACCCATTGCAGGAGCTCTGTCACCACCTGACAAACCAAAGACACCACATTCTCTCTCAAATACAGTTATCTTTGCCAAAGTCTTCCAATTAGCTCAGCTGCTAACTTTCACTAAATGACAACTTTCTACCTGCTCATTTGGAGGCGTATTCTTTTACCACACTGTCACAAGGGCTGAAAAGGGGATTTTTTTTTTTTTTTTTAACTTAAATGTTACCTAAATCTTTTCCCTCCACCAGGGTGGGATTGCTTTTATTTTAAACACATTTTCATAATCATCTAATTTTGTCTGTCAAAAAGGAATGGGGAGCCCTGGCTGGTTTTGCTCAGCGGTTAGAGTGTTGGCCCATGGACCATGGAGTCCCAGGTTTGGTTCCCACTAGAGGCACTACCTCGGTTGCAGTTTGTCCTCGCCCCAGTTAGGGTCGTGTGGGTGGCAACCACTCCATGCGTCCCTCTTGCATTGATGTTTCTCTCTCCCTCCTTCTGTCCCTCCCACTCTATCTGAAGATAAATGCAAAAATGTCCTCGGGTGAGGATTAAAAAAAAAAAAAAATGGAGAGAATAGAGATAAAATTCTGCTCTTCTAGCCCATTTCAGTAAGCCTTGACTGAGAGTTTTAATGGGATGCTGGGTTTAAGTGTTCTATACTAAGAATATATGTAAGGTAGCCAGGCGCCGCCGGTGGGAGGTGGAAAGAAACCAAAGAGCCAAACAGCCGAATAAGCAGAAATCAGGCTTTATTGGGGACACTCCGGGCGGGTTCACAGACTCCGGGGGTCGAGTCCGAGAAGCCGCGCCCGATGCTGGGGTTTGTGATTTTTATGTCTGCGCCTGTGGCAGCGGGAACTTGTTGTTAGGGTTAGGTCCTGAGGGGCTACGCATGGGGGCCCCTGGAATGTGAGTCTATTGTCCCGGGGCAAACAGTTCCTGGACTAGGACAGGAGAATGGGACAGGAGTTGATCTATGAGTTCGGGGCAAACAGTTCCTGAAACAGGGTGGCAGTCTGGGTTGGGTAAGCGAGGTAATGGCTGAGCAGTTTGCCTGGCGCCAGTTCCCAGGCTATCGGACAATATACATGTACATTTTCCCCAGTTAGGAACTGGTATCATAAATGAACTATCTTATCTAAGAATTTTAATCTTATTTTATCAGCTTAAATACTTTGGATATGTTTTCACAACAACAACGTAAGTAGCACATCAACTATTTAATGTTAAAACTAGAATAAGATTGCAAAGACCAAAGAAAAGCCTCAAGTGCTGCATTTTGCCATGTAGCCATTTTATAAACACCCCGTGTTTAAGGGAAATCCTTGTTTTTTGCAACTCCAGACAAAATGTTGATTAAGTGACATGCAGACCTAAAAATAGCTCTGTAACACACATGTACATATAAATTCTAAATATCATGTTTTTAAAATAATCAATCAAAAAAACCCAATGAAAAAAGATATTCTCCACCCCATTAACATTAAAAAAATTAATACTCACCACACGTATTATTGTAGGCCTATTTGAAATATGCAGATGATTTTATATCTAATTGATTATTTAATACCTTTTCTCTATTTATGCTTCAAATCTGTAGGCCAAGTGATATTTTTCTTAACTTTTGCGCTAAAATCAGAAGTATTAATAATAATAAATAAAGGACTGGTTAGCCACTAACATGTTAATGGGACATCTCTCCTAGATATACAAAAAAAGGCTAAAGAAATTTACATATATTCATGAATTATAAATGTGGTTTCACTTATTGATAGTCATTAATGGTTTATTTTGATGATCACTGAAAAATATGAGAAAATTTTATATTAATTTAAATGTACATAATAGTATAAAGGGCTAAAAATAGCTAAAAGTCTACTTATATAATTTGGTTAAAATTTTACATAAAAAGCAAATATAGTCATCTTTGAACCATTTATGACAATGCGAAAAAAATGAATTTATTCAGAGAAATACATAAACAACTCATATTTCATGGACTTGTGAATTTTATATTCCCTTTAAAAACTCCATGAAAAACTAATCAAGACATTTTACATAATTGAAGCAATCTGCATTTTATCTTAGCAGTGCTAAAAGACAAATAAAGGAACTACAATTTACTTCCACTCCGTCACCCTTTCTTTGTCCCAACATGTGATGAGAATACTTAAAAACAGGTAAAGGCAAGGAGCTAAAAGAATGGTATACATACAAATTAACGATGCATTCTTGAAGGAGCAAAAGTTGATTGATTTGTAGGTAAAACTAAGCTTATGTAGCCAATTCATTATATCAGGCCCGGAGGCAAAAGGAGCCCAGGTGAATGGAAAGCTGTAGGACTGAGGATGAGCAGGCAGGTAAGTTACTACTCGGTGTGACTAGAAATAGGCAAGCATTCAACTGCGGCGGTGGCACACACATTTTGATTTAGAGGCTAGGGCACTAGCCAAAAAAAATTGATGAAATATTCGAATCATTTAGTTCCATTTACATCTTCTATTTCAGTAATTCTATTCATCCAGTGAAATCACAAATTACACACAATCTATGTGAACACTGTAACAACAGATGATTTTACGTAGTAAAGGTTTCCTGTGTAATTCTGCCTGTGTCTGTTATACTGGAGCATGTCCAACCTCGCGTACCCCTAGGAGTCCACTGGAATGGCAAGTACACTGCTAGGTCTGTTACATGTGGGGTAAACACCTCCGCATACCTTAATGGCCATAGGAAGACTTGATTTTTGCTGGCATTTTTGCCTGCACGAGTCAGAAGCTATTCATTATACTGGCAAGGACAAAGAACTGTCACAGGGATTTAACCTCTTTCGCATAAGCCGCTTTTCAGCTGAATGGCTATGGAAATATTCCTGGGACTCGGTGACGCTGTTGTCTTAAAGGACAGATGAAAA